TTCTAATGATTAAGGCCTCTATAGTCGACCTGCGGTGGTTTTTGTGTGGTTTAGGGATGTGATTCAAGGGATTTGAAGGCACACCGGTGCTTAGGTTTTAGGCTCTATACGGCTTAGTCTTTGGCCGTGTTGTGTCTTTACTCTGTGCGGTTGTGGGAAAAAGACATGCCTTGCAAGCGAGATGTTCATGTCAGGCCTTCAGAATCCTGCTTGACATGATGCCCTCTCGGAGGATGAAGAGTCAGATTTTCTCGAGAAGCTGCTGCACTTCGGCTGCAACCGGTACACCCGAAGGGTTCCCATGCCTTCGCTAAAATAAGGTATCCTTCAGAAGCTTTGACTGAACGCTTGTCGCTTTTATGTTATTCCGAGCGGCTTACTTGCTTCTGCAGCCAGCATGTAGCAGCTCGTTGTCGTCGCCGTCGCAGTGCTGGTGCTGCTGGTGGTAATAGGTGGCAGCAAACTTAGTACTAGCAGCAGTAGACGCAGCCTCGGCAAGTTCCCCATGATGACGGGGCATGGTGTCCCGCACAAACCACCAAAATTCAAAGGCGCTCGGCAGTTCGAGTGGGTCGCCTACAGCGGCGGGGTCAGGCGGGGAAGTGTAGTTTCCTTACTTCTTTCACAAGACCTCCGAGGCTTGGAGAAGCGAGGTTGATGAAGAGGTAAACCTCTCCGACTTCTCAAGTGTTGAATCCGTGATTTGGGGCGTCTAGTGCAACTTACTGCTCGTGAGATGGGAAGTTCCTGGTTCCTGATGATTCTTGGTTTATTGGCGTCGCTTGCCGGGAGTCGTGAGCATATCTTTTGTGTGACTCCACCCTCGACTACCCAGCAATGTGTGGCTCGGTATGTGGAACTTCCCGGCTCGTGTTGCTAGAAGCTTGGTTACGTGCAACTTCGCGTTTGCGCTCCGCCATTGCTCATAACCACCATCAATTGCTGCACATGAACGGCGATGACACTTTGACATGGAAAACACCGCGGAAACTGTGTAGACGTGCTGCAGGAGTATGCCTTCGATGCTGAAAGCCAGACGCAGACCAACCTCGCTTCTGGCAAGGCCCATGCCCCAGATGTTGAAAAAGAAGCAACTTCGGCGTCGTTGTTCCGATTTGGTGTTCGGCCTATGAGCGCTTTCATTTGGCGGTTCAGCCGTGTCGTGCAATGACCAGCCGCAGTGGTGCCTGAGCTTGAGCACCACTGCGGGCTGGCACAAGATGCTAGTTTCCGACGCAGCACATTTCAAAGGTCTTGCCTTCGTCGCTCGCGGAGACTGTGCCTAAACCAGTATCAGACGCTCTGTCAAATACGCTGCCCTGACGGAGAGCCGAGACACCCCAAAAATCTGAGTCACGCCGAAGCACCACCCAGCCCGCCACGACGTGGAAGTACTTGTAACCATGTTCGGCAGGATGTGGCTGTGGCCTTCGAAACATGCCATGCATCCGCCTGCTCTTGCATGGACTGTTGTGTGGCAATGCGGCGGGGAAATTTATCCAGCCTCTGAACTCAGCCACGTATTGCATCGCTTCGTCAAACAGCCCTAGATACACAAACCAGACCCTGCTGCGAAGTGCCGGGGTGAGCAAAAAGGGAGTTGGCTCTATATCTCCAGGTGCGAAACCTGCGCCGGGTGCCCCCTGCAGAGGCAGGGGGCGAAATGCCAGAGGAGGCCGGAGTGGGCTGCAGGGCTCTACTGTAGCAGGGAAACCGCGGAGATGATAAAGGTTCAAAGTTTGGTACAGCCGCAGCGGGAGCACTGTTGCAGCATATGAGCTCTGATGCGAAACTGCACTGCCCAAGCTTGCTGATGCCGCATGTGCGTAAGCGTTGTTATGCAATTCCGGTTTTTGCAAGACCGGCAATGAGTCGCACAGCAAAAAACCCACAAGCAAGCATCCCCCACAGCGATGATCACCCGCACCTTTGAGAAGAGCCGATGCTAGAAGTTCAGAAGACCCATGTGTGCACACATTCGGTCACGTGCCCCCAAAAGCCTGCTTGTTAAGCGATGTGTCAGGTTAGGCTTGCACATTTGCTGAAAGGCCTTTCCCGCAGATACTAGTACCATGCATGTTGGCGGGCATCATGGGCAGTTTAGTTTCACGCAGCTACTACACTACACCTACCTGTCAACACGTGCTCGCAAAGTCCTAAACCCCCCCCCCCCCGCCCCCCAGGTGATGGAGAATCGTGCAGCGCCTGCAGCTGAGGAGCAGCTCTTTCCTTAATGAGGGCTCCCAGAGTACTCCGCAGGATCTCTCGTACCTCTTTTGGACCCTCAGAAACCCCCCTGGTCAGTGTAAAGCAACAGCAGTGACATAACGAGTACGGTGAAGTTTCTGAAGTAAGTGGAGGGCGGCCAAGGTCCCGAAGCCACACAAGTAGTATAAAAGTGCTGTGTAAAATCGTGTATTAAAAAAATACACTCCACCTCCACCCACCCTCCGCCCCGGGCGTGGAGGAGGGGTGAAGTGGGGTTGAGGCGGATCCGCTTAATTACTTAAAATGGGCTTTATGACCGGGCACGAAGCCGACGGAGGCAGCATTAAATATGTGTTTAGGTATGTAAAAGCCGCATCTTTAAAGCCAGTCACCGTACCATTTAGCCACTGCAGGAGCTCCAGCAGGTGGTGCAAGTTTGGCTGGCGGGAGATTGGAAACAGCTTTTGCCTCGGCAAGAGTTTGAAGAATCAGGAGTTTAGGATTGAGGGTTGAGGGTT